CAAAAACGATCTTGCTACGATGATTTTTAACGGAGATATCGTCGGTAATGTCGAAAACACAAGGGTTATTTCAATGAGCTGTGATTTGGCGAAAAAAAATCGTAGGAACTTCTTTTTTTTTTTAAATTGAAGAGAAAAGTATACACTTTTTGATACCGTAAGCAGAACTGGCGAAGAAAAATTACTACACTCCGCACAGTGCGTCAAAGTGTGCAATTTTTTAAAGAAGAAACATGGTCATGATTTTGAGAAAGTTCCGGGAAATGGGAAGAGTGAATGCAAATTCCAATAAGAGCTTCTTAAAGCAGAGACTTTGCCCTATAAAATGAAAAAAAAAAGTTTTCAATTCGACCAGTTTTCGCGAAGTTACGCTTATTTGAAATTCGCCAAATTTTGAAGTAAATTTCTTGTTGCGTTAATTTTTTTGACCAGTGTATATTGATATCATATATAGTACACCACTTACGTTTAATGAAGAATATTTACTGAAATTATTCAGCGTATAAAAACGAAGTTGTACCTTAGTTATATTAAAAGATTATCAACTTGGTTTTAGATAAATTATTATGCTTCCACCGTTACCGCGAAAATTCCTCCACCAAAAAAACATGAATACGTAAATTATTTCATATGAGACTTATCTCTATAAGACTTTTGTATTCATTACAATTAGATAGTAATGATTAAAAAGACGAATGTCGGTAATAACAGAATTGAAAATATGTAGAAAGGACAGAGTGCCAATGTGAGCCACAAAATGGACGAAACTCGGTTCTCACAATATATAGAATAAAAAATTTTTTGTTTATTTTGTGGCTTACATTGGCACTCTCTTCTTTCTACATATTTTCTTTTTGGAAGCCTTCACAACACTTTGGAATATTATAGAATTGATTTGAAATACTGGTTTATTCATGAACGACTCCTACTTTCGCTCTTAAAGCACCATGTTATTCTTGTTGGTTAAACTGCCTAGAAGTATGCGTTCAGTGGTGCATGGTGTATCTGCAAGAATTCCAAATAAAGAAATACACATTTACCATATACATTAACAAGAAAAACTTTCAAAGAAAACTGTGAGTTTCCTAGTTTTAGAATAATATTTTCTAATTATTTTACCGCTCTGTAATCACACATTTTCGATCGACTTTGAATAATTGTACCGCGATTAATTTAAACTGTTTGTCAGGTTTATAGTTTCAAAAACAGTGATAAAAAAGGAATTTGATCGTAAAATCCAACTGTGATTTTTAAATCAAACTTCTCCGATTTGTACTTAAAAAGGGAAAGAAAAAGAGATAGAATCGGATTGCGGAGGTGCTTAAAATATCGTATTTATATATATGAAAGAGTTACATTAAAACGGAAGGATGTCTAAACAATTTGCAATTGTTACATGAACTAGAGCTAATGCGAGTTACAAAGGTTAGGCTTTTGTTATAAATTGTCAAGTATTCGAATATAATTTCTGCGGTTTATACTTCTATTTAAAACTTACCTAATTGAAACCACACTTCCGTATTCCCTGCCTCAGCCCTAGCGGAGTTCAATGCATTGCGAATCGCGATCGGAATTGCGCAACTCATGCACAACGGTGGTTCTCCAGTTGCTTTAAAAAAATTTTTACGATTAATTGGTCCTTTAATGATTTCATTTTTTATACCTCTGTATACTAAGGCTGCGTTCCGTTTGGGCCCTCACACGCTGTAAGCATCGCTCTATCTTCGTTTGATATTCGATGTGCAACAAGATAGAATGATGCTTACAGCGTGTGAGCGCCCAAACGGAACGCAGCCTAAATGTATTTCTTTCTATTTTAATTAAATTTATTTTGATATTGTTCAGACGAATTTTATAATAGTATGTCATGACGAAACGTAAATTTACCAATCTTCTAAATTACTACATGTATATTAAAAAAATTTTGCAATAGGACCTACAAAAGTTTCTCAATTGCATACAAACATGTAGAAAATATTTAAGTTTTGTTTCTCATTGTAAACGCAGAAACGAGAACGAAAGAATTCGAAGAATGTTCAATCTCACCTTTTGAACGAAGAACACCGAACGTGTTGACCGAGTTCTTAAGCAAAGATACGCGAAAGTCTTCAGGGATATCCTTCGCTCCTGGTGGTTTATAATTCTACGAGACAAAAGAGATACTTTAAACATACAATTTAATCACTCGTGTCTGGAACAAACTTGATGAATCGAAGCAGTTGAGCCTCGATTACAGTTTTACCGAAATTCAATGAAAATATCTTACCCAGG